TTCTCGAAAAAGTAGAGCATAATTGCGCGAATATGCGGATGTTTTTCTAGGTACATTTTTGTAGAGAAAATCAAGTAGATCATTTCTAGAAAGACCCGATTTCAATATTCAAATTTTATCGTGAAAAAAAAAGCCGCGAAAAAATCCGCAATAATTATGCATCAATCTAATATTTCTGCCGTTACTGTCTTCATCTCGAACAGTCTCTACTTTGCTCTATAATTACTGTATTTCAAAAGAAGCGAATATTAACATTATTTTCTATGGTTACAGGACCTGCATTTTCGAAGTGAAAGGGTTGATTGTATTTGCATTTCTTCAAGAAAGAAATTCGTCGACAAGTAGAAAAATAGTGAAAAACTTCAGCAGGAATGGATACAATATTGGCAGTGATCGTTGGCATTGAAAAAAATTCCTAAAGAACTGTCCATAATTTCTAGCTGTGAAAGAGAGTTTGCTCAACTACGGGCACTAATTGACGTAAAAGGTAAGATTAAAAGGAATGAAGATGGTGGGCTCAGCCATATAAGGTGGAAATTCAGAAGGACCCTTTCAAGGAGAGGAGAAGAATAGCGGCAGTGAATAGGCTGCCAAAAAATCGCATATGTATGTCAACCAGGTTTCCCTTTGGAAAAATGGGTTTCAGGACAGATAGGTGCTATTATTGTATAATACTTTGAGATTTTGGCTAGAATCCAGATTGAGGAGCTGCCCAGTGAAGAGGGACGTTTGGTTTGCTTGCTGCTCGGTAAACTTGAGTAGAGCACCATCGTTCAAAGTTGTAGGAATATGGAACGTCTTAAGTCAAAAGAGACTGTTTCCCTTCTTGGCACGACAAGCAGCTTATCACGGATTGGGTGATCGTTTCATCACTTATTGTCTTGCTGTTCCTTGGGACATTTTCACGCTAGCATTGAGAAAAAACCTTTGCTAAAAACACAAAAAACACAGACAGGGACAGGTGATTTCTTGATAAATGGCTTTCAGAGATCTTACCTAAAATTTGAAGATTTGGCGGCAATAATTTAGGGAAGGGGTGCTCGATGTGCAGAGTTGAAGGGATAACGGAGGGCTGCGCAGCAGTTTCTCTGCAGTCAGAGTTCCACGAGAAAGGGATTGAGACAGAGCTTCGCTAGCCATGAGGCTCAGTATGACATCTCTGGTCCTTTGATCTTATCGGAATAAGAATATTCACTAGCCGCTCAATCAAAATTCCTAGCTTTCTTGAAGTCATGACATCGGTGGTGATGGTAGTCGTGCGGTTACAAGTTTCCGCTACTTTGACTTTTAACAGAAACGCCAGTTGATACCCATACAGAAGACGGAGCACGAGATAAATATGACAATTGATCGAAAACTTTCTGAATTTTGTTTCATCGAAAATGTAATTTCGCCAGTACCAACTGAGCAGGTTTTTTTTCGTCTTTAAATGCAGTGTCTGCCGAACTTTTTCTACCGTGTGCTCGCAGAAATCTTTGAACAACGAATACAAACTGTTTGATGAAGATTTTATTCGAAGGTATATACTCTGTGTATCTGCTGAGCACAACTATGGCCTAGCTGCAATGTCAAAATCGATTCGATTCCGTACGAAGCGCTGGTGGGCCGACGACGACAGCACATGTCTTCAACTACCTTTTACCAATCGTCGTATGTCAATGACGAGTGTGATTTCTTCGCTGAGTGCACTGAGGTAACCTGGACCAGACGCACCATTCAAACTCTATCATTTCACGGGTATCATTACTATTTTGCGCATCATAGTTGTTATGAATTTCATAGTTTATCTCAACACACTCAATGGCTTTCAGTGAGATTTTCATGTAACTTTTGATCTATTCTTTCTCATCGTCGTAACTGTAGAAGAAATTGTGCAAAGACTGTTCTTATCATTCAGTAAATTTATTTGTTTATATGTTTTGTGCTGCTTTTGCAGCATTCATTTCAATAATAACTTTGCAATGCTGAATAAAGACATTATTGTCGAC